AGAGGCGAGCAGAGTAATTCTGATTCCCGGTAAGGATTTCTCAGTTGACATCCACCCCTAGGCGTTCATATGACCTTATGCAGTTGCGAGATCCGTAAATCCTCTACTAAAAAAAAGAAGGGTTTGGGTGGGGGGGGGAGGGGGTGATAATTGTCACAAACAGCTTCTCACTTCAGGCACTAACAGCAAGCACCACCATACGTATCACTGGAGAGTTAAGGCCAAGGCTATAATAGACGGCTTTTCTCAGATACCCCGTGCCAAATAAAACAAACGCTTTCTATCTCGTCTCAGCTATACCCTACAGACAAGGTGTCCGAATGTGATGGTTTGGGGGTGGGGGGGGGGTGTCGTTGCTCTCTTTTGTACATAAATATTTGCTAACCATTCGAGGCAACTTCACACAACAACAATATTCTGATGAAATTCTTAGTCCCCTTCTTACTCTGCCTTACAAGGCACAACATGGTGGAATATTCCGAAATGACATCGTTCGACTTCATGCGACCAGAATCTGTCAGTACTTCAGCACAAACCTGTCAAATCAATATGCTGGACTGAGTTTCAAGATCACCAGCCCTAAATCCGACATAACATCTGTGGGATGACCTTGACCGGAGGATTAGAAATAGGCCACATCACGAGCAAACCCGTCATCACTGGAGGTTTTATGTCACGCACGAGGCATGGCTCGGGGAATTCCTCAGACAACCATAAAGACATCGATCCGGTAAATTAACAGTGGTTTTGTAGAGGCAAATCAAACCGGATGGGGCCACACGCAATACTTAGCAAACTCTGCTGATTCGGATTTTGCAAAGGTCAGTGTGAATACAGTTGTCTCCCTCGAGGGGGGAAAAGGAGACTTTGGTCAACGTTTTTCAAATTGCGTTGTGTGAACTTGGTCATGTTGGCCAAAGGTCGTTCCTAGTTGCTGAGAAGCAGATGAGTTATTGGACTCGGAAGATGGGTGTGGCGGAGCTTTTGGCAACTAGTTGGTCGATTCCGGCTAAAATGTTAAGTGATTCTACGATTTCTACGATCGACGAGTTTTAAGAGAGTTACCACCATGTTCATTTTGAAACACATGTTCGTGCGGATTTAATTGACAAATGAGGATAATTTCGCAAAAGGTATAAATTTGCAGTTTCCTGTTGTAGAGTTTTACAGAACTTGAAACAGAATTAGGTCATAATACAAGTGCCAGAAGACAGGAGGTGTTGCTAGAGAGTAACATACACAAAAACCAAAGGAGGAGAGATCAGGAAAATAAATTATAGGACAGAAGGAGCAAACCACACCAGAGCATCCGCCCATCACCCACTTGCAGTTTCTCAAAAGGCTCAAGCTTTGGAAGTCACCAAACTTTGACCTG